TGGTCGTTTCAGAGATGGCATCGCATTTTTCCTTCGGCGATCCAGAAATACATTTCGGCGACGCTCAGAAAAAAAGTATTCAAACATTGTCCCGTTAGACAGCATCTGGCTAGGCTTAGAAATCACCACGCCTCCAATTTGATGAAACAGCTGCAGCTCCAATTGATATAAAAAACAGCCACAGCGCAGTTGCCGAAATACAGAAAACGGTCGCAGCGACGCTTGCAGCGCTGTCGCCAGTAACTAAAGCGGCGACTGCAGCCTAGTCATGACGTCACCGTCAGATAAGTGGGTTTTATATGAACCTCCACGTTTGCTTATGCGTGCGAAGATTTACCACGCATAGATATATATATGTGACATATACCCGAGATTTGGGGCGACCCTAATCAGGAATCAAAAACCCAAGGGTGAGGGTAAGGGCACTGGCACTAGGCACTGTAATTAGTTGAAATTGTAGGCTATATTCATAATAGAACGACACTAACTTACCTGGCCACTCCAGTAGAAAAACTGAATAAACACTGATTTTGGGGAATTTATATTTACTTTAACTTTTCGTTAAATTCAATTCTTGTTAATTATTTTTTTTCCCACGTGCAATGTATTATAATCGGCTCTTGGACACAATCACTTGTCAGACTTAGTCTGCTTCACTCAGAAGTCGGTATAGAAGTGAACTGTACCCCATGCAAACACTTTAGCTAGCCCTATGCAATTTTCAGCCAAAGCCGATCTTGAATCAACAACAACATTAGCGCTTAGCCGAAGTCTGCAAAAAAACGTATGTACTGATAAGCAACGGCAAAATCGTATGATGCTGCTCCGCTTATCCAAGGTGACCGCAGCATAATAGATAAAATATAAGAGTATGACAACTCAAATCATTTATGATTGCCCCTGTAGGAAATTGGACACTACAACGCGCCAGATAACATAGACGATGTATGACTCATAGATAAAAACGTTTTGTTATGCTATATAAAGTATTACCCAGAAGAACATTAGTATGGTTATCTTCTAACGAACAAAAGAAACTATTTTAGCTTAAATGAGGTTCTGACAGCCCACTAACGTCTAATTCGAACATAATAAGTAATAAATCAAAGCATTTACTCTGACGAACTAAATAAATGTACATCCGTAATGCACACATTCTTCCGAACGGGGAATAGTTCACATTCATTTAACGTAAGAGAATTGAGATATTATTGTGAACTCCGCAAAGAGAATAGAATAAATATTATATAAATTATTGGAAAAATACAGAACAAGGATAATCTGAGATATTTTAAAATAAGTCGTAAATCTTGTCCATATGCTTCAGATAAAAAAGCAGCTGTCTTCAAATCTGAACTATCACTTTACCAAAGCGAGATGCTTCCTTGAATCGAGTTCAAGTGAAATATTTTTCCTGTAGCTGCTAATCCATGGGTGTGGCAACTAAGTCACCAGCAACAACAACAACCGCAGCCAACAGAACCACGAGAACTACTATACAGGGGCAAACTCGGGGCGCGCATTTCCAGTGAAGATCATTATTGTCTGGTTGCGGATGCTGGTTATGGCGGCGGTGGCGGTGGCAGGAACTGCTATGGTGATGGTGCCGGCAACGACGACTACATGTATGGCCCAAAAAAACACACCAACTGAGCAAACAAGTTAATGAACCTGCCTGGAGTGAAGCAAGTAAGCGAACGAGCGAGATGCGCATGCGCATGGTTAAGCGTCGGACTCGCGATCCTTAAAACAGCAGCAACAATAACAAGAACAGCAACAACAATTTCCAAGCCCCAAGCTAAGCTCAATATAAGAGACATCAGGAACTGGGGGGGGAGGGAGAGTCGTCCAACTAGTTTGGCCGTCAGTTCATCGCACAGGCAATGCGGGCTGGCCGCGGCAAAGTTGCACCAAATCTGTGGCATGAATTCTCTGGAAATTATCGAAATTTCATTTCATTGCGACAACAACAACGGCAACAGCAAGAATAGCGAAGGCAGTCGCAAACTGAAATTAAGTTCAACAACATTCCGGTCTGGTCCCAAATAGCCATCGGCTAATGCCATCGCCTTGCCCCACTGTTGTCTGGGACAACTTGGTCAGCTTTGTGTGCTCTATCGCTTTTCATTGTGCTTTGTGATCGCTTCGTCTGGCTAAGATCTGGCCGTTTGTGGTTCAAACACAACCACAAACATTAACTTTCCATTATCCTTGAGGCGCGAGTCAATGCCCTCTCAAAACATTGCATTACACAATTGCAGAGCCTCCTGTTCTTTCTCGCTCTCTCTCCCTCTCATTACTGATACTCGAGTTACAGGGCACTCTAGTGGCCTACTTACACTTGAATGGCCGGCTAGCAGCAGCCCTCCAGGGACTCTGCACTGAAACAAAAGCCTTTGTGGTCTGCTAGCAACAGCAACCCTTTGATTTGGTCCCTGGGCCGGGTCCGACCATTTGTGCAAAGACAAAGAAATTTATTTTGTCGCCGCTGAAATGCGAACAAATTAATACAAAACAAATCGGAATGAGAGGCAGAGAATAATACTATAGAGAGAGTGAGAGAGGCGACGCTCTAAAGAGTCCCAACCAGGGAGGGGCAGCATATATTTTTATAACTGACCTCGAACTTTTGTGCAATGTGATTGAACTGCTGCGATATCTGTGGGTCTGTCCATAGGCAAGCCAGCTCGTTCAGCCATCCATCCATCCATCCATCCATCTGTCCATCTGCTTCGTTCTCTGCGGTCTCACATTTGCATGCAGCCTGCATACGGTTTGAAAGTGTTCTTGTGGGATGTTACGGGAACACGGTTCTGGATCGGGAACGGGGGCTGTACGCGATAATGTCGTCGCTATTGCGCTGATGCGTGCGTCCAACTGCAACTTAAACGACTGACAAACAATATGGAAATTTAGCGCGGGAAACGCGGCGAATAGTGCAGGGGGCATTGAGGAGGGAGGGCTATGGATCGACTGCAGACGTTAAATGCATATTAAATGCGCGTTGCTCGAGGTTGGGAAATAAAATGCGTGCTGCGCTTGCACTTTCAATGAATCCACAAAGCGCCAGCGAGGAGGCGATAACAAAAGTCATAAACATAAAGAAATCATTGCAATGTTCATGTATGTATACATACGTACATATGTATGTATGTTAGTATATGTACTACGAACTAAGGGAAGGCTCGTTCTATTTCATTATTCATGAAGGCAGATGTGGCGATTTGACTTCCAATGATCCTTGCATTTGATCCTTTGCATTTGTGCATTCTTTCTAGCCCACAAGATGATTTAATTCGTCTAAGTTGATTTTTCAAAAACTTTTACTAAAGCTGTGTAGAGGCAGTTCATCTGTTTGAGTGTCTCCGGTTGTTATAAATCTGACAGCTATTGGTTGAAGGGGAGGAGGCATGAGTGCTTATTAGCAAGTTATTAGTATTGCTCTTAGACTTTCTAGTTTACCTTTTTACCCTTAGGGTGAAGTACTTGTAATACTACTATGAACTATCTTATATAATGATGCAATAATATTCAGGGTTAACATTAAATCATTACAAATTGAATTTGTAATATATTTTATTATTTTTGTTTCTGTTTGGTTGACTCAAAGTTGATAGTAGTCGTTTCGACTGCCAATACCCTTAAAGGGGGTCTAAAGAGCGATACATTTCCAGGGTTAAGGATAAAAAGGTTTTAATGTTCATACGCACCGGTCATATTTAGAATTCTTAAAATACGCTTTCATTCTTAGGTATACGGCATAAGAAAATTCGTTTTTAAGTGCGATTTATGTGCATACATACATACTATAAGAAAGGGAACTTGTTTTTAAGCACTCGTTCAACTTGTTAACAAACTTAATGTGTATGTACGAGTCCATACATTTGTACCTTTAATATTCTAAGCGTCATAACGACCTAATTTTTAAAACTGTTCTTTCCTCTGTAAAGTGGCAGACCATTTTATTATTCCACAGCCAACAGAAAATCAAGCGAGTTGGAAATAGACGAAAATCCAATAATCGATCTAAACAAGTGCCAAATACTGCTCTATACACAAGTATTGTCAAAATTCAAACCCTCCCTACTTGCAAATTTCTTTAGCTGCTAAGATCATTGACGTTGTTGTCACAAACAGTTCGCATTACCCTAGCAGTTCTATGATAAAAATATTTCATCAAAACAGAATATATGTACATATACATAAGAGTTTAAGCTATACTCTCCATTGCTGTTGTATTTGCTGTTGCTGCTGCTGTGCAAATATTTAATAATGTATTTTTTAGAAACGCGAAAAAATGCAGAGTCAATCCCACATAACAGAAAAAAGAAGCAACATGCAAACAAAAAAAAAACGATAATAAAAGTAAGCGATTGCGGACAGTGGCGTAGGTGTGGATTGTAAATGTATTTATATCTAAATGAGGAGCAGAGACCCCCTGTCCATGTGCGCCACTGGACAACAAATACACCACCAAAAACAACAACGAAAATGTTTAGCTGACGTCATTTGTCCTTGAAATTTAGTATTTGCCGCAAAACAAAATTCGCAAAATTCAATGCACTCTAGAGCGAAACAACACAGCAGCAGCGACAGCGCAGCGGCAGAGGCGACCACAACAGTAACAACGGCAACCAAAAGCATCAACAACTACGCGATAACAATGGGATGGGAGTTGTGGAAGAAAGCTTGAAGAGTTGGAGTGTGCACAGACGTTTTATTTTTAAATACACTCCTCCTGCCACAATGATTTAATCTACATCAATTACATATATAAAACCTACTAAGAGACAACAGCTAACTGTTAATAAGACAAAGGGGTGAGTATTACATTTTGAACTGTAACGGCAGTAGTCAAACAGCTGGTCTGCTGTTTTCAGTGCTGCCAACTCGGTGCATTACAAAATGTACAAAATGAAAACAATGTCTTTGATTAGCACATTTCCATTTAACATAGTAGGTTAGCACGAGAGCCAACAGAAAAAATAATATTTGTACATTAAGTAAGGCGTGCATTAAATTCATCCAAAAGCTTAAGATTCAGAGTTGTTGCTCCAGTGCCAACAACAAAACACAAAAAGTCCCTCAGATTGAGAGCAAAGATTCGCATTTAATTGGCGCATTTTCCGTGCCATTAACAAAAACAACAAGACCACGCTCTGCCGCTGCTGCTGCCTGCCTACCAATACCAACTTACCAAGAAAAAAACTGACGACGTCCCGCAGTGAAGCTCATTTAAACGGCACTGATTAAAAGTGGTTCATGTATTATCAACGCCAACAACAGCCCCAGGTGAGCAATCGAAAATTAGAGTACCAGAAGCCTTTGTATTGTTTTTTCAAATTGCAAATCTTCAGGTCCGTTTTCGCCTATCAGACCGTTGGCAGTTAAAAAAGTGTGCCAACTAATTGTGAAACATGCGGCTTTGTTTGTGCATGTCTTATCAGGTTTTATCTGGACTGGGTTCTGGCCCCTGCCTGCCCTTTGCTCTGTCCAATTTATTTTTATTTTTAAGTTTCACTACTTCCTTATTTTCATGACCAAGGGCTATGTGCGCGTTGCACGCGAATATTTAATCGTTTTTTGTTTGTGTTTGCCGAGCACTTTAAAAAGCGCCCACACAAACGCGTTCGCCCCATCATTTTATATCATTGCTACGTCTCAAGCAATGTTTTTATCCGTCAGCTAGCTACGTCTGTTCTATTGCTAATCTAGAAGTTCAGCTGTTTGTTTTATTAGATCTTATGTCCGCCATATCATTAAGTTAACAATAAGGCGCTGCAACGTTGATATGCTAATCTTAATGTCCATGTTGTCATGTCTATGAAAAATCTGAATAATATTAATTCTTCATATGCCTGCCCAGATATTCAAATCTTCCTAAATCATCGATACCAATCGTGCGTATAAGTCAGAATGGGACAAACACTATCAGAGCCTGTCACGGCGAAGGAATCGTCTTATTGCCAAAACCAGGTATATCGCGTGGGCTCTAGTTGCATGCAAGGCTGGCGCATAAACATGGAGGACTCACACACACACATACTCTCGCTTCCCGATGATCCTGGAGCAGCATTTTTCGCTGTGTACGATGGACATGGCGGGGCAACAGTGGCCCAATACTGTGGTAAACATTTACACAAGTTTATACTAAAGCGACCCGAATATAACGAGAACGATATTGTAAAGGCCCTGAAGCAAGTACGTATTTTGTGCAACTAATTTATTTATTAAATATCGTTAGAGATTTAAAAAAAAAAAAAAAACGTTTCCATAAAGATACGTTTCGTACAAATACGATTTATATTAAAGTGTCATTCTGTAGTTAACTTATGCACTTGTACTTGTAATTTACCAGGGATTTTTAGACATGGATTACGAAATGCTACACAATGACTCATGTGGCGAACAAATGGCCGGTTCTACAGCCGTGGTCGTACTTATCAAGGACAACATATTGTATTGCGCCAATGCCGGCGACTCACGCGCCATTGCCTGCGTAAATGGCGAACTAGAGGTACTTTCGATTGACCACAAGCCGAATAATGAAGCAGAATCGAAACGCATTAACGAGGGCGGGGGCTGGGTGGAATTCAACCGTGTTAATGGAAATCTTGCACTCTCACGGGCACTAGGAGATTTCGTTTTCAAGCGAAATGCAAACAAAAAGCCGGAAGAGCAAATCGTTACAGGTATGTAAATAGGCACAAAGCACTTTGTTGTCTTATTGTTATTAATAAACTCATCTACTTCTGGTCTCTCGCAGCCTACCCGGACGTAGAGACGCGTAAGATATTGGAGGATTGGGAATTCATTTTGCTGGCTTGTGATGGCATTTGGGATGTGATGAGTAATGCGGAAGTTCTGCAATTCTGTCGATCGCGCATCGGCATGGGCATGTATCCAGAGGAGATATGCGAGGAACTGATGAATCATTGTCTTGCGCCCGACTGCCAGATGGGCGGTCTGGGTGGTGATAATATGACAGTGGTTCTGGTCTGTCTGCTCCACGATAAACCATACGACGACTTGATCGCGCGTTGTGCGAATAGCAATAAATCTTCACAGAATATGTCTTATGGCGGGTCTAACCCAGATCCAGATGTGGCAGCCACAACCGATACCGATAACAAAATTAACGAAGCAACGAGTCAAGAACAACAGCCGGCTACGAATGTTGCAAGTCCTAGTCTGACGGCCGAGAGTACAGCAGCTAATAGTTCCGATAATAAAGGGGACAAAGAGACTGCATCGCCCGCATCTGGGGCACAGTTACACCCTTTTATCTACTAGTGCGCCTTACAATAACATTAATAATTATAATAATACAATTAATTAGGGTATTTGCAATACCATTTAAGTCAAATTTATACTTAATGATGTTTAGCGAGTGTTTTTGGTTAAGTTTTGTACAATCCTTGCAATTTGTTTTTCCATTAAATTTGTTGTATCCAAAAACCACCCTAGCGAGGAAGTTTTTCTATTTTGTGACGGTGCTGCTGAAATATGTATTTCTCGTTTATCTGTGGACTTTTCTGGTTGGTCAATGAAATTGTTAGGACAACTAAGCAAATATTTATGAAACAAAAAATAATAAATATAACTCCTGGATGACAGTAGCCTGAACACATGTTCCCTTGCATAATCGGCCCATATAATTGCTTTCCTCACTTAAGCAAGCACCAGTTTAAAATGTTGTGTACAGCTTTTTCTGGTTAACTTTTTTTTATTGGTTTCAGCTATCTACATTTAATCTACATTATGCACTGCCCTTTTGTTGCATGCGTTTTATTTGATTTTTCGTATTTATGTATAATATATGATACAGTAAAATAAAATATGAGTTGTTTTTTACGTGTTTTTCGTGTCGTTAAGTTTTTTTTCCTTTATTTTGTGTTAGTTAGCTCATAAGTATAAATTTGATTTAACTTTGCTATATTTATTTATTAGATTTATTTTTGCTTTTATCATTTGTTTTTTTTTGTTTTTTGTTTTAACGTACAAATTTCACTCTTAACGATACAGATTTGCTGAAAATGAATTACGCTGCGTGTTTATTGTTTGTTTCTCAGTGTATTGTGTTGGTTTGTTTATTATATTTTATTTATAAGTATGCATTTTACACTTTCAATAATTCTCTGAATAGTTCTGTTTTCATAGGGATATTGTATGTTATTACATAGTTACATAGTTATACTTTAGTCATATGTAATTTTATAATCTTTAACTTTACATTTATCAATTTTGGTACAATGAATATATATTTTATCATTACATATTACTTCCTTTGTTTAACAGACATTAGTTATAACAATGTGCGTAAGCATATCTTTTTCATTGATGCTATTCAAAAAAAAAAAATAAGCTTTCCGGTAAAATTATAATAAACACACCGTTTCTCCAAAACAAAGTATCTAACTCATCCTTCTCAAGGATCTACCCCGCTATTGCCACGGCTCCTTTCTACATTCATTCATATATATATACCTAATAAGTCAAACCCATTTGAAAGATTATATAGAATTATTTCAGAAAGCTAAAGCTAAATAAATGATAGTAAGTGGCAGTTCCAGCAGGTGTATTAAATAGCGAGGTCCTGTGCCAAAAACAATGGGGACTAGACACAGCGACACGAAATGAATGGTGAATAAGCCGTAGCATTCGTGGCGTCCTTGGGAAGGGCTTACTATAATAAATAATAATCGCTTCAAAGCTATAAAAATGACTCTGACTTTTTGAATTTACTATAATTAGCAACAAAGCATTTGAAGAAAGAAAAAAAAAAAAAAACAACAGGAAACCAAACTATACAAAATTTGTTTTCATGTGTAGGTGGTGTTAATGGATGGCTGACATTTTGAAAGATACAGATACATAACTATGGGCGTGTCTTCATAATATTGTTTGTAATATAACAAGGTGTCATATCTGCTGCTTAAACATACAATAAATAACTTAAAAACTGAAATTTTACAATAACAATTTAATTATGTAATTCATATTCAATTTCATCGCCTTAAAATTATTTAACATCAACAATGTTTCTTTTCGCTACCTCTACGAACTATGCAAGCAAACTGTTGGCAATCAATTTTCCATTTTATTTATTTATTTTTTGTTTTTCGCATACAATTGAATTTTCAATTGAATAATATCACATCATTCTTTTGCGTAATTGAAATTGGCTCAAATCGGAGAGTCCCCCTACACTGAGAAAGCCAGAAAATGATTAAAGCCTTCCCGGTAAGCAAAACTCCAATTGTTAACAATCGCAATCTTAACGCTGGAAATTCGTGCCAACAACACAATGCATTGCCATTCATGCTCTACTTGGTAATTTGTTTTTTATATTCATTCTTTACTCTTTAAAGCAGTCAAAGTCACCCGCACTATCGAAGAACAACTGTACAGTGGCCGTAAGCAACGAGTGCAGTGTTACCTTCTCAGAGTAACAAAACAACAACAACACTGATCGCGTTTGCGAGTTTCGATTACAAATGCGAGAGTGGTTGGGAAACACTGCACCCGTCAAATAGGTGTGTCAATACAGCTATGAATCTTACAATTAAATTGTTTTGGAGTACGCAGCAGGCCACTGAGAGAGGACACAATGTGCGACACTATTTCTTGAAACTATCGGATAGTCGGCCGCTCAGCAGGACTGATTGGAAGAACTGGCCAAGACCTAATCAATGTTCAAGAAATAGTGTATTAGCCTATACATAATTGTCGAAATAGAACTCTATATGCATCTCAGTGGACCGACCGTACAACCTGCAGCATATATATTTAGTATAGGCACTTAGCTTATTCGATTGTTTTCATAGAAACAAAATATATTTACAGATTTATAAATATATGTTGTTTTGTATTTTCTCATTGGTTGGAAGTCTTGTGAAAGAGTTTTTAGGTTTAAACTAAAATGTTAAAGTCCTCGAAATAAAAATTACATGCATGTGTAGGACTGATCAATTTTCATTTCGTTCTTCTTGAGTAGGATTTTAATTTTGGTCTCTCTGCTAATAATTGATTGATTGGAATTCGGAAGTAAGTAACCGTAATTTCGGGTTTTGGTTTTATGCTCTAACAAGAAGGGCGGACCTGTTTGTTCTGAAACTTACAAGTTTTTTTTCTTTGTATATTATTAAGTGTGAATATCTACGCATATCTAATCTTATCACTTACAATAGTTTTATATATCTTATGCCTTTAGTTTATCTGTTATTATTTCTTGTTTTTAATGCCGATTCCTGTCTTAAGCTTAAATTACATCATCAAACAAGTTTGCAAAAATAAAAATTTTAATTTGTGCGTAACGAAAAGTAAAAACCAAAATTAACTCTAGGTCACGCAAAATAAACATTTTTGATAGTAATGATGATATGAGCTTCAGTGACTTGAGTTTGTGTTTGTATGTATACAAATTTAAGTATGTACTTCGTTGGACAACCAAAAAGACAAGGAGCATTCACAAAATCCAGAAAAAAGCTTATTAAAAATGTACAATTCCTATTTGATTTGTCCTAAGCCTTATAAAATGGTGTGTGTTGTGTGTGTTTAGTATTTCTTTTATGGCACCTTTTTGTTTAGTGTGTATGTAGTTATATGTTTGTGTGCTGATGAGTGTGTGAAATATCGTAGTATATACAGAAATACATGGTTACAAAGTAAATCAATAATATTAGATAGTTGTCTTATGATCTGTCTACGCTTTATAAAGTTTAGTTATTAGCAATGCATAACTTGTTATTTGTTGAAATACGTGAAACCATCAAACTGAGAAAATTGCCTTTATGTAGAAAAAATGCAATTTTAAAATGTATACATATAAAATTAAGATACATATACCCAAGTGCGTGTATATATGTGGCTGTGTGTGTTTATGGGCGTTGGTGGTTGTGGCATTGTGATTGTGGAAGGGGGTGGTCGAGAATGTGTAGGTATGTAATACATATGTTTAATTCATAGTGAGTCCACAAACATTTGTTAGACAGTTGGTCTGCATGAATTTCAAATCGACTTTTTGGAAATGGATCCGTTTATGACGTGAGCTAAGTACAAGGACCCGGGGGATTATCAAAAGTAAACTGTGACATGTTCAAAGAAGACCAACTGATATTAATGTGGTTTCGTTTATATGTATAGTGAAAAAAAAAATTATATAAAACTCCAACACCGGCACTGGCCGATGTTTAAATATACTTTTCGTTAGATTCGCGTTGTCAGGACTAGCGATACTATAATCATTATTTTTCTTGTAATCAAGTAGCACATATGATTAAAAAAAATGAAAAGTATGTAGGTATTATCTGCCCGGTTTCTTTCCATTCATTTCGATGCTTCGTGGCGCTAACTACATGCAAGTGTTGCAACTTAATCTAGGCATATTGTTCTGTATACTTTCTTATTGTTGTGCTAATCTATGTGTACCCTTCAAGCTTAGGTAAAAACGTAGATTAAGTGTTGCATTAACTGCTGGTTATACATATATACTCATAAAAATTATGCACCATTATTCCTTTGCCTACTATTATGATAACTGGTCCAAGTTGCAGCGTGCGGCTCTCTGTGTGCTCTGCGGGCCGATTAGTGCGGCAACTGAAAACAACATTGAATTACGAAAATTGTATAGGATACAATTTCAATGATAACTCACCTATTTGCCTCATAAGTGGACATAAATATCTATTTGTATACGCTTATAGATATAACAAAAACGTTGATGTATTTACATATGGAATTTATGTACACTGGATGCAAAGGTAAAGCATCATGCAAATTACTCAAAACTTGTCTCCACTATTGCGGCCGTCCCTCCCCCTTTTTAAGAGTTATTGCCTCTGGACTTGCGTCCGCCTCCTCCGCCGCCACCTCCACCACCGCTGTTACTAGCACTAATGTTTGCAGAGTGCTCTGCTGAGTTGTAATGCTTTTCCTTGCTCTGGTGGCGAGCATTCCCACCACTTGGAGATGCGATCAGCGCTGCATTCTGTCGTCCATCCCGTTGAGCAGTATCTGAAAAAAATTAAAACGAAAAATTATATCGTTAAGCAGGAGTGTTTTCACGCCAATATCTCCTAATCAAGATCTTTCGTCTATGTCTAAACAGGATACCAAAACATCGAACTTGATCAAAAGTTTTGGGAGTATGCCACATATGGTCCAAACATTTCAAAATTAGTTTTTAAATCTCGTGATGTAAAAGAAAAGGAAGTTAATGACTTCACTTCACTAGCGATATAAAATACGTGTAATGTCTATAATTGAATTATTTTAATTAATTCTTATTTAATGATATCAGTATCACAAGCTATAAAGTATCACTGTACCATAAGCTACTTGTATTATATGCTTGATTCGGCGATTATCAGAATGCAAGAAAAAAAAACATTGTTGAATTCAGCTTACCTTTATCCTTGGCGGAGCTAATCGAGGTAGCGGCATTTGTGGTCACATTAGTTGTCTGTTGGCATGTATTAGCTTTAGTCGAAGCAGCATTAGCCGCTGGCGCTAAGTTGCGCGTCTTATCAATTTGTCCGAGGCCGGGTTTTTCAATCAACTTATCGGTGAGTGTCGCAGCTCCCGTTTGATCACCGAGGGCAAGCTCTAGTTTATTGCCGGCGGTTGGTGACATAGTACCCGTCGATCCGTCCTTGCTATCGGTTGAAGCTTTGTGGTGCTGAGCTACCTGGGCATAGCTCAGTTTGCTGGCCGAAGCCGCGGCAATGTTTTCAGTCGAAACCGAATTTGTGGATGTAGCAACACTTTTGTGTTTGCTCCCATCCTTGTTCGAGGAGGCCTCCTTCTTGGCATGCAGTGCAGCCACAGATGGTGGCTTCTTGTGCTGACTTAAGCTGCAATCAGTCAGATTTGTTATCAATGTCGTCACGCTACAGGCGCCAGCGCCAGAGCCCGAAACATGAACGATAGGCTGGACAGCAGAGGCCACACGCACATTGCCGGCATATGCGTTACTTTGGCTCTTGACATGGTGCTGCTGTTGCTCGGCAATATTATAATCGTTGTGGCCATATCCAACGCTTTCAACTAAACGATGGTTATTGTTATTTTTGCCTTGCATTGGATGTGTGTCATCCTCAGTCTTGTTTGGTTTATCTAGAATTGTAGCGCCAACTGCTGCTTCATCACCAGATGCATTTTCAACGCGTGTCGTCGCCGTCGTGTTGTTATTGTTTATCTTATTGTTGTTGCTGCTACTACCGCTGGGGTTGATATTTGGTGTTATACACTTTATCACATTGATCGAATTGTTACTAAAGCCTTGCTTATTAAAATTTTTAGTATTGTTTCCTAAAGAGCGCGCCGGCACATCCTCAGAGTTGGCTACAAAATCAATGGCAGACGATTGATAGTGTGACAAAATCTGTTGCTGCTGTTGTTGTTGTTGATGGTTTCTATTGTGGGCGGAATCCTTGCGTGATTTGCTTTTGGCACCACCACCACCTGTGCGCACCACATCCGACAAGCGATTCTCGGCCCAATTATTAGCCGCACTAGAGGAACTGTTGGATAAATGTAGAGAGCCCGCTGCACCCTCGCCCTGTTGATGATTGCTCAAAGGCAAATCTTCAGATGTGACACCGCCGCCACCTGCGGCACTGGTCTCGATTATGGCGGCATGTGCGCCACTGGAAGCACCATGGGAACTTTGTATTTGATGGTGTGCCTGAGTTTGATTGTTTTGTTTATGTCCTAACGACGACGACGAGGAGGCATTGTTATGAATGGCAGCGTTGCTGGCATGAGGAGCATGTGGTGCCACCGCAGAGGAAGCTGAAGCCGAGGTCGCTGGCAGTGGTGGAAAGGCAGTTGCCTCTAAATCAAATTGTGGCGGCTGTACAGGAGCCGCTGGCTGTTGCTGCTGTTGTTGTTGTTGCTGCTGCTGATGATGGGCACTGTGACCTTGGTAGGGATTGCCGGCATGATGCAAATTCCCACCGCCACGTTCGTTGCTGACACCGCCACCAGAAGCGTTACTGCCGACATTATTATTGCCACCGCCACCGCTACTGACAGCAATTCCACCGCTATTACCAACATTGCTACCAATAGAGTTATGATGATGATGATGATTGTGGTAATGATGACTGCCTCCGGAGCCCTGCTGGCCACCCGATAAATGGTGCTGTGACGAGGACAGCGCACTGTGATGATGATGGTGTGTACCACTCGACATTCCCGAGTGCTGTGCATGATGTGTGCTATTGTAATGGGGATTGTAGTTGTTCCCCTTATAGCCTCCACGATGCTCCGTCTCACGGTGCGTGGTATAGGTGGATCCGTGATGACCGCCTTCGCCACCGCCGCGATGCTGCCCGCCACCTCCACCGCTAGGTTGTGGCACATTGCTAGATGTCGTTGCCGATGAGGACAACATTTGCTGTTGATTGTGATGTGTATTCGGTGATGTGCCATAGATCTGTGAATAAATGCAACCAATTAGCAGCTGATAGTTGTGACGCCCAAGTGCCGATCAGACGGTGTAGAACAATTAAAAAAAAAAAAAAAAACTAAGTCTATTGTTTTCTCTAAGCAACAAATGTCAGATGGCTAATATTGAGGCTGAATTTGAATCCCTAATTCTAACCTTCTTTATATTTTTAAGCATTACCTAAAACCCCACAATCATATGCGTACGCCTTATGAAAGAAGCATTTCCTATAATCCCAACCTATGCATATATGGTCATTACCTTGACAATAATAACCATCATACGCTTATTTTAAATACTAATTACGAGTGTACATGAGAAATGTAGTTTACAAAGAGATGAATAATGCTATAAAGGAATTTAAGTTTGTGCTCCTACTAGAATTATATTGCATTGCACCATCTAAACAGCAGTTTAGGGCATATTTTCTGCCCAACCCCAAAACCTACATTAACACGACCACTCGGCGAGTAGTTGATGCCATCGTCCTCACGTCTACGTCGTCTGTGTGGTCGAGTCCAGTGCAGGGGCTCCTTGTTTGTTACACCAATTGACGTTGCCAGTGACGATGTGGAGCTAGCGGACATGTTGCTACGATTTGGCTGCGAGGTATGCTGTATATGTGAAGTGTGCTGCTGCAGCTCTACAGTTTCTGATTCTTGAATTTCAGCCTGCTGCTGCTGTTGCTGAAGCACAGCTTGTTGTTGTTGTTGTTGCTGTTGCTGCTGATGGTGAACAACAAGATGGTGATGCTGCGACTGCTGTGGCGCCATAGTCAAGGCCGCCGTGGCTTGTGAGGTGGCATAGGATGTGTGTGGGGTGGACGATGCACTGGAGGAAGGCAATTGGTAGTGTTGCTGCTGTGATTGATTTTGTGACTGCTGCTGATGCTGTTGTTGCTGGACTGTAGACGCATGACCAGAAAGCGTTTGCACTTGTTGGCTGAAGTGATGATGGGTGGTCACACCACCCAATCCTCCGCCATAGGTTTTATCCATATTTTTTGGTATGCCGCCTGAGAATGTAAAAGAATGTTATGATACTACAACATATTCGGCGCCAAACTCATATGTTTACCTTTCCAATTACCTTTTAACGCATAATGCCGCGTGTTGCCAGCTGTACTCGAGGTGGCCATTTGCTGATGCTGGCTGTGGCCAGTACTCGTTGGCTGCTGAATTTGATGAGCCTGCGCCTGCTGTTGCAGTGGCGACTGTTGTATAGGATCGACAATGGTAGCCGGCACTACACTAACCATGCCGCTCGGTATGGCTCCGGACAATTGTATAATATTGCCACCTTGTAGGTGAGACTGCGTCTGCGTATTGCGTGGCGGCTTGCTCCTCTGTTCACGTTGTCCAGAGTTTACGCTGCCAAGATTGTTCAGATTGCTGCGATGGGTGCCGTATCTCCCACCACCACCGCCTCCCTGAGGTTTTGTCGTTGCAATTGTTTGTGCGGTGGGAGGCGGTGTGTTTGTGAAATTAGCAGTCACAGCCTGTGGAGCTAAGCCATTGGTTGCAAATATATTTCCTCCAATTTCATAGAAACTCTGACCATGTGGCGCTGAAGCTGCCACAGTGGTTGTCTGCCAGGGCGTGACAATTCCAGGATAGAATTGTTGTTGCTGAAATGGCTGTGAACGAACGGAGTGCGTTTTTAATATGATTATGCAAATTAGTAACCGATTTATGAAGAAATCGGTTAAGCCATTTGTTCGCATGATAAATTTGCATAACTGGCGAAACACTAATTTCCAAATCCGGAAAAATTATCAAAAACTATGGGTATGTTTTACAAGCTATGGTTCTGAGAGCTTGTAAAACATACCCATCTTAATATTTGAAGTCCTTTCTGTGTCCTATAGAAAAACGGAAAATTCTAACATATAATTGGCATGATGATACAAATAATACTAGTTAACAATAAAAAAAAATAGCTTCACAAATGGCTATGAAAGTAAACTACCGACCTTTGTCTTTCTAAAAAGTATAATTAAAGAAGCAAAATCCAGCAAAGCTTATACACATATTTTCCTGGATTTAAGTATCTATTTATTATCATCTAAGATCTACGTATAGGTAGTACCAATTTACGAAATTCCATAAAACGCGGACAGCAGACTCACTATTCCACAGATTAAGATTATTTTACAGCAAACACATATTTCGATAATTGATACTATTCCATTTTTATACACAACATTGCACTCCCATGACGAATCTTTTATGTATAAAATAGCGTATTGAGCCTACAATAAATAAAGAGTATATTCAATAGCCTAAGCTAAGTAGTTTGTTAAAATTATTTCCCAAGAGATTTGGTTTCATAATAACAAATAGGAAATTTGTTTATGTCTAGACGATAGCGTGACTCGCTCAATCCAAACTCTGCCAATTGGCTATTACTACTGTAAATAAAACCAAGCTCTACTTACAATCAACACTTGGCCATTATATGAGACGGGTGAAGGAGCTACGGCGCCATTCGGAGCATAAACAAATCGCTGTGCCGTATTATATGTAACGGCAGCAGCAGCGGCCGGATCATAGACACCTGAAGTCGGTGGTGAGGTGAGACGAAAGCCGTTTTTCAAATTTGGTACTGGTGCTATTCTATTCAGAAATGATTTCGGCTTGATTCTGGCCATAATCGGTTTGCCTTGAAACTCCTTAACCTCCTCCCGTAGATATTTGTAGGCCTTCTGCGCATCATCGTCCGATTCAAAAGTAATATACCAGGACATATTGCCAGCAAATTCACATGAGATGGGACGTGGACAGCTCTCGTTATTGAATATAGCCTACAAAATTAAAGAGAGAGACATATGGATAGAAGCAATGTTAGAGCTGAGAATTCTACTATTCATATTATCATATATGGGCCAAGCGCACCTTGACGTCATCCATTGGTGTGTTGTCAGGTATCTCGCGAAGTATGATGATGCAACGCTTGTGATTTGGACGCACGCGCAGGCCTTCGTCATCTACCTGCACGTTCGGTGATTCGCGTAGTACTTCGGTTATTAATTTTATATCCTTGGTAAGTTTCTTAACAAGATTAAAATTAGCCACAGTCCATATGAGTACATATTGATCGCTATCCATTTGCGACAGCAAATAAGTATCGTTCGCTAGATTCTCCCTACAATGAGTAATGCAAAAAGGTGGTCATGAATTTGTATATTTATAAAGTCTGCGAGTGGTGTTTACCTTGAAAAGTAATACTCTAGTTGGGTAGCTAACATTTGTTTGAGTTTGTCCAAAGGCATGCCAGGGTCATCGCCAGCAGCTGCGCCCGCATTGTGGTTAATGTTACCAGCTGCCAATTGCTGTTGTTGTATCTGCTGCGGCTGCTGGTGCACAAGTCCGTGCGGATCCGGCAACGGCCCATTAGCAGGAACAACAATGTGCGGCTGCTGTGATTCGATAGCAACTAAATTCGTATTATTAACACCAGGTACCAGCGCATCAGTTGTGTAACAGACGACTTGTCCATCTTGGGTTATGGCTCCATTCATGATGGCGTATTCGGGATTATCGAGTGCAGTGGCCTGAATAGGTTCGCCAGCGACAGCTGCGCCCGCTGTGGCGATGCCCTGCGGCGGCTGGGGAGGGGGATGTCCGTATTGCAATGGATGGGTTTGCAGGTGAACTGGAGCACCTCCGGTGGTTTGAATCGAAGTAGGCGCTACCGCTTGCACGGTTTGGATTGTTTGTGGTGATTGCTGTTGTTGTTGCTGCTGTTGTTGTTGCTGTTGTTGTTGCTGATGTTGTTGCTGATGAGCTGCTGCTGCGGCCGCAACTGCCACGTGGGTGTGAGTGTGGGCGGCGGCGTGTGTATGCGATATTAGCTGCTGATGGTGCTGTGCTGGAGGCTGTTGCGGTACCGGGACCGAAGCCACTTGCAAAGCCTGTGAGTGGGCTGCACCAGCTGGAGCTGAGGGAGGTGCAGGAGCTGCTGTGATCAACGGTATGTGCGCTGCTGGGGCTGCTATTTGAGTTGTAGTGCTGAACAAGTTCGTAGCTAACATTGCCGTTTCGACAGGAACATTCGTGTAAACAGACGGCTGGATTTTGACTCCATCTCCGTTCATATAAATGTATCCTCCTGCGATACAAAAATTAATAAATTAAATACAATTAGTTGATTCATGTATGCATGTATACATATATGGGAGATGTCAAATGAGCAAACCAGACCGTGTTATGTAGCTCTCAATACTCAAATGTTATCTAATTAACTTGGAAATTGCTGATAAATAAAAAAAAAAGTGGAAAATATCCTGAACGAAGCTGTGTGAAGAAAAATTTGGCGATCTACAACGCCCTCTTTCTTAGCATATTTAGAAGGGGTATAGAAGAGACATATGTATGTATGTATGTACATACTACATATGTAGGTTTGTATGTATGAATGGATAAGTGCGTGCATGCATTGAAAATGCTAAGCAGATAAATTGAAAGAGAACCAAATAGCTAGAAATCGGTGTACAATTTTTTCTTTCTTAATGGCATTATGCCATTGAAAATAGGTCTAATCGGTTTTAATATTGCACAAAGCACACACATACACTAAAAACACTGGCAGATACGATAATTTAATTCTAACATAACCACAAACGGAGCTGCGTGCAAAAGTTTCGCCTCACCTTAAATAATATAGTAAATGCAGCTATGTACAGAAGTATGTATGTATGTATGTATGCGTGCCTTCTGTGTATGTACCACCAACATATGCACACTATATGCAGGGGTGTGCGGGGGTGGGGGCATTTTAGGAGCACGCCCCGGCATTTGTTTGTAAATTTAAATGCAAATACTACTAACCTAGGTAATATTCCATGGTAACGTATGTTGGAATTATCAAGAATTCCACACAAAGACACACTCGGCACTTTTTTTTCCCTCTTTCGAACGAACGCCCGACACCGACCAGTGACAGAAAAACAGCGACAGCCCAAACGACGTTGATGAAACGCGTTCACGTTCACACACAGCTAGGCAGGCAGAGGCGCACACACACACATACACACACACACACACTCACTCACACACACACGCACACACAAACGTGTATCCACTCGGAACTGCTTCTGCTTTTGCTATTGCCACCCAGTTGAGGCTTTTATTTGGAAAATTTGATTTTCACTTGATGTTCTTATTGTGTGTGCAGCTTGATTGTGATTGTAGTAATACGATAATAAACGCATATATGTGTATCTGCGCCGCCACTGATATTTGGTTTTATTTATTTATTTATAATTCTGCACTAGTTTTTCATCTCTGCTCATTTTCATCAACTTCTCCTTCTCAGCGACCGACGACTGCGACTGTCGCAGACGTAGACGACGTTGTCGTTGTCGTTGCCGTCTGTTTTTCCGTGGCTGTGGCTTGAATGACTTAATTTTTGTTCTCATTTAGTTTTCTTTTCCCGTAGCTATTTTCGCTTTCTATTCTCTTCGATTGCTGTTTCTGCTGTTTTTGCACACAATTTTGCCTGCCCACTTCACCACACAAATAATACGCTGAGACAGAGAATAAAATTGAAATCGGCCAAGCAGAGAACTTGCAATTGATTTTTTGATTTCACGCCCAATTTTGCACCAGCCGTACCCACAAAAGTTAAATAATTAAATATTTGGTGTTTTCAATGTTTTAAATAATACAATCAACTTTTTGCAATAACAAACGAACTCGTCACGCGAAAATTTTTATAAAGCCAAAATTTGACGTATCATCGCTATAGAAAAACTTTCGCCGTGCCTTTGTCAACTGTTCCGATAAAAAGCGTCTAAAAGCCTCCGATTGCACATGGGGACAAGGTTGCATTGTTTGATACAGGCAGCTGCTGCCTTTGAAATGTTAACTGAAACCAGCCAAATTTTACATTACAACGTTTACTGAATAACTGTGGCGTTGCAATTAAGTTAATGTATGATGTTGTTTTTTTAATTATGCATCTACGTCATGGATTTGTACCAAGAACGATGGGAATGAAATATATATAAAAACAATTTATTGCCGCTAATTAAACAAATTTACTAGAGCGAAATTGCCACTCGAAAAATCTACAAATTACTAAGTAGTCAACTACGAAAAAAATTAAATTACTTACTGTCAGATCTCGCTATATTTTTAATCAAATTCACATGAAATCAAATCAGGCCTTTGCCAACTTCGCGATGGCTGCACAAAAACACTATCAAACTGGACTTTTGTTGTAAAAATGAAAACCACTTGTTATGTGTGGCTTCTAGAGCGATGATGGAACGATATACGGCAAAGGTTGTCAAACGAAACACCAAGCGTTCCACGTTTCGAACAATACAAAAAGTACACGTATCTGTATGCGAACCCCGACGCCCGTACTTATGCGATGAAACTATAATAATGCTCGCGAATAACGCTCACGATATGATATTGTTGTCAAACAATTCTTTTTTTACTATACAAAACTGAAATTTCGAGCGCTCCGCTATGCCCACAGATACACATACAACACGCGGTGACAGTGTGACCATACTAAATGAAAAAGTGCTTTAACCGATAAAATACCAAAGCACTTTAGCAATGCATACGTCATCAACATGGCGCACTCTTTGATACGAATAACCTTGCACCTGATAACACAGTCGCTCCAAATGCGTGCTGGTCAAGATTTATCTTATATGCATATATTGCAGTTTCAATATAGTATTGTTGTTAAATTGAACATTTAATTTTATTTAACTCTTTATGATTAACATTGTTCGCAGTTAATGGTCTATTGCTTTGTCTTTATATAAATGTTCTATCAGGAGTGTTGTTAGTTATTCTGAACAAAGAACTTTGCAAGTTTGGTTTAGCTTAAGAATGAAAGACTTAGGAAAAAATCCACACTGTTTGTTCCTTGGCATCAATTTAAAAGCCGTGCACTTTCAATTGATCAGGCTTAGCTAATCCCACCTTGGTCAACCATTGGCAAATATTCTCACGTTGATCGCCCTGTAGTTGCAGAACTTCACCATATTCCGGATGTTCGATTACAGTCCCATTGCAAGCAAATTCCTAGATCAAACAAATTCCAAATTTGTATTTCATTTATTTTGACTTGAACAAAATTGAATGTGACTCACCTTTTTACAGGAGCGGACTATCTTCTTCAAGTCATACTCCGCGGATAAGCCCTGCACAGTGGTCAATGTCTTTCGACCGTTCCTCTGCTGGATTCTTATGTGCACAAGTCCGTCTTGAATATCATCATCATTGCCCTTGATTGCATCAGCAAAGGGGTCTGAAGCATAAACAATAGTGCACACGTTCGTTTATAGACATATGTATGTACATAATTGTGTTAGTATTGTAAGTGGGGGCAATGCCGACTTACATACATGCGTATATACATATGTACATATGCATGTGTGCATGTACATTATGACTGGCGCTGGCGTACAGCAGCCATTTTTCTGTACATGCGTAAATTATTGCTGTGTAAGCGAGTGTTACTTAGCTTGCCTTGCCCACACGACACTTACCTCGAGTGTTTAAATTCTGGATGGACATACGACAATAAAATAAACCACAGCCTAAAACAAAAACTTCGTGGAACGATTGTTGTTATTCGAACTATTAATTTATTAATTACTGATTTTCTGAAAATGTGTTTGACAGAAATTGACAAGTCGACAGTGTTGTCTGCTAACACAATGGTTAAATTACACCCTCGACCACACATATGGTTGTCGTGTGAAAAAGTTCAAATGCTGTTATATCATCGACATTGACAAACATTTATTATTTTGAATAATCATGATACTTGCTACACTATTTAGGTCCTATTTTTTAACAAATAGTAAGTCGTATGTTTACTATATATGTTTTGGATACACTGTCACAAAAATACTAAACCGAAGCAACCGTGCGTAAATAATCGCAGCCAACTTCACTTTTTGCTGCAGCTGCTACAGCTCTTTCCTGCTGAATTTTCGTCGTGAAGAGGTAGGCATTTTGTAGCGTGTCTTGAATTGGTTAAGTTATAGCTTCTTAGGTTGTGTGCGTAGGTTCAATATGTTAAACTTTTCACTGACTGGTATTACCGTGCCACATGTTCGGGTAGCAGTGGACGCAATTATGAATTATTTTGGAGGTAAATTTGCAGTTGCAGTTTGTTGCGGCACACGTGCACGGTGACAGCGGAGAGTAAAAATGTTTTTAAATGATTTATACAATATGCGGATCTGTGAAGAAATAAAATATGTAATACCCTGAAACTACTAGCAGAAAATCAGATAAAGGCAAGCCAGTGGCTGATTCAAGAACTAATAAAGTTTCTTTTCATTTCACGCTTGTGGCTGGTGCATTTTTGGTGTCTTTTCTCCATACCGAAGGTAAGCACATGTGTTTGTCGCAGAATTATTTTTCTGTTTTCCATGATGATTGAATTGGCGGAAGAGTTCTTGAAGACTATATTCATCACCCAAGACTGAAAACAAAAAAGCAGAATCTGAGATATGGTAGCCTGTTTTTCCTTTCACGTTTAACAAATTTTCTTTCCTTTTCATGTTTGCGGTTGGTGCTTTTGTTGTATCTTGTGGCCACACCAAAGGTGAGCACATGTGATTGTCTAAGAATTACTTCTTCGTTTTTCATGATGATTGATTTGACGGAAGAGTTCTTGAAGACTATATTCATCACCCAAGGCTGAAAACAAAACAAAAACTGCCATAAGCGCCATTTCTATACAGTCGGATATTAATGGAATTACATTTTTTGCAGACGTAAGATGGCTACCTCTTCGCACCTAAATTGGTTGATCATTCGCAATAATAACGCTTTCTTGCTTAAGAAGCGTGATGTGAAGAAACCCTTCAGCACAGTAAGTTCACAAATATGTCTTACATACATTGTACATACTTAATGATGTTTCCAACTTATAAACTTTCACAATGATATTTGAATACAACTTGATAGTAAACTAATTCTGAACAAGTCGGCTGCATCATTGTAAAATTTCAAGTCCGAAGTATCTCCGTATAACGTTTTTTTATATCTCTGCAGGAGCCCAGCAACTTGACCAATGTCAGCTCGTACCGATACAGCGGCATTGTGCACAAGAAAACTGTCGGTGTTGTGCCCGCTGCCGATAAGAAAGGCTTCACAGTTGTCCTGAAGAAGGGCAAATATGTCCAGCGTCCTGCTAAAAATACCGTGCGCGTTAACTTCAAGGCTGGACCCAGACGCTCTCTGAAGAAGTTGAAAAACTTGTTGACCGGCTCCAAGTACCGCAAGGACCTGACACAGGTACATGTTCTAGTAACTTCGCTTAATAATAGCGTTTCTCCTGTTATGATGATATTCATTTTTTATGCTACAACTACCAAGATCGCAGAATGATCGTGTTGAAAATCTTGTCTGATGTTCCAATATAACTATGTCATTTATGTAGGTGTAAACAAACGATAGTAATGAAAACTTTATGGTCTCATTTCAGGCTGCCCTCCGCCGTGCGTCAGCTGTTCTACGTTCCCAGAAGCCCACCCAAGTTAAGGCCAAGAAGCCCGAATAAATGCAACGTAGGGATATGTGGAACCGTTTTCTATTAAAAGAATAAAGAAAAACCTAAAATCGAATTCAATGAGCATCTTTTTTGCTAGTCGTAAACACTGTTTAATCTTGATCACTAGACTTCAAGGCTTGCTAAGCTATCTGATAAATTGCATGCAAACATCTGTATGTATTTTTTTCAAGACAGTTTTATTCCTAGCTACAAAAATCTGCGGTTATGGTTTTCCAATAATATTCTCAATTGTGAACAAAGTTGACTTCGTTCGATTGTTTGCTTTAGGTGGCGTAGGTGTGTCGTTAAACAGATCATGTAATCCCTTAAAGGCATCGGTTGGGGATGGTTGTTGATCGTATGCCTCCCGTTTTCTCCGGTTTGGCGGCGGTGAGAAAGCACTTGGGGAATGTAGTTCTTCGTGCAGCGGGTTTTCCGTGGCGTTCTCGGCTATGTTTGGACAAGTACTGTCGGCTGAGTTTGCAATAGATGGGTCCTTAGGGATAGTGACGCTGTTGCTGTTTAAATTTCTTGTGCCATCTCGCGTGTCATTGCTGAACAGATTGTTAAAGCCAAATGACACGGATAAATACTGACGATGTAGTTCTGTAATACGATCGGAATAATTCGGTCTCGATGTAGATCCGCTGTCATTGCAAAATAATTCGAAATCGGCCAGTGAATCGGTTGCCAATCTCGGCTCGCCATTATCATTATTGCTAGTTCCCTCCTGTTGGAATAAATAATCAGTATACAGTTTTAACCTTTTATATTGCGAAACTATACCTTTGTCACATCCCGATCGTAGCGACCGGCACTGGAGCAATGTCGTTGTCGTCTGGTGCGGCGTCGTCGGTAGTTCCCCTGCTCGAACATATCGCTTGCAGATGCGTCCAACATCCAGTAACTGCCCTTACCAGCGCCATCGTTATCGTCAATAGTATTCTTGTCGCGTGGCACCTTCACAAAGCAATCGTTCAACGACAGATTGTGTCTAATGGAGTTCTGCCAGCCTTGTTTGTTTTCCCGATAGTAGGGAAATCTGAATGGATCAATAGGAATACTTTGGTTAATTTTAAATGTGCATACGTATTCAGAGCTTGCGAACGCCAAAATGTCCTGTTGGTTTTTTATATTTTAGAGCACTTCTCTTAGGAGAAGTGTTGAACTAAAAACAAAAGAATATATATATATAAGCACAATTTCAATAAAATCGGTTCATTTGGTCGATTACATATATTTAAGGATCAACAGTTTAACTTGAGCGTGGCCGAAATCACCGTTATAATTTAATAATCACAAATTGGTTTGGATAATTTACTTTCAGAAGTGTTCAGTATTGTGCGTGTTCCCCTATTCGGCTCGTTTTTTCGTATTCAAAATCATAATAGACTTCTCTATTTCTAGGGCTCGTGCTGTAACCTAAAAAGTCAATATATGGTTGCATATATTGGATATATTAAAAATGTTCGATAAATTGTTGGTTATGCAAAAACTATGTACTTGTAAAAATTTAGACATTATTATAGTTTTAATGAGGTCGCTTTTAATAATTTATTTACCAGTTGCATTAGGTTAGTTCAAAATATGTTTGCATTGAGAGATTACAAGTATATAAACATTTTTAAGCTTTTCTTTTTTTTACTATATTTTGACTTTATATGAGTATAGTCTGCCTGATTGGTATGAATTTGAAAATTGATTTTGAGCCAACTTTGCAATAAGCCAATCGAAATGTAAATTTAAACTCTTTTTCTTGTCTGTCTGTTCGTCAGGAATGCGTAACGTGAAGAAGGAAGAGAGACTGAATATTTATAGAAACATTAAAAAGTAACTTATTTTATTAAAGAGTAAGTTATAGGCGGAAGACTGTTTATTTAACATATGAACAATATCGAAATGGCGAACGTGAAAATGTTAAAGAACGTACATACATATAGCTCAAGCTTTTAGCCGATATTGAATTTTTGAAGACACGCTACAACATGTTCAAGCAAGACCAAATGCAATAGCCTACAAAAGTATCTCTCGCATTCTAAGTAACGCACTTCATCATTTTCCAACACAAGACATGGATAATGCTAAGTGTTTAGTCTAGATATAAGCCGAATAAATTTTGAAGACTCTACGACATGTTCAAGCAAGACTAAATGCAATAGTCTACAAAAGTATCTCTCGCATTCGTATATCCCTTGACTTGACTGAGACACTCTGAATTAAGAGCTAGAGAAACTTGTCATGATCTCGTACTCTCTACTCATACCACACTCAAATGTATGACGAATAAATATTTGTTTAAAATTAATAAATCATAATAATTCTTTACAACGTTAAAATCGGAACGAAAAACGAAATCAAAGTGTCATACTTTTTGGGCTGTTAATGCATTTTTCGCATTTCAAATAATTTGTTAAATATTTTAGTAGCTAGTAAAAGATGACATGCATATACTCGTATGTATGGAAATATGTATAATTATCGTGTAATGATCCAATGAGCTCGATTTTTGTGAAATTTAAAATGCTATTTTTATAAGTATGTTTGTGGATAAATACATAGGATTATTTAACAAAAACAAAACTTCGAGTTCGATTTTCTATTGCTCATTAACTGGAAGTTGTGTGCCAATTAGGTGTTATGTTTATATTTTATATTTTATATATATATTTTTTTTAATATGGATTCATTATAAAGTCCTCTATTCACTTACTTATCCATAATGAATTTGTAGATTCCGCTCAGAGTTAGACGTTGATTGGGCGCACTGCTAATGGCCATGGCAATGAGTGCTATATAGGAGAACGGCGGTTTCTCGGGCCGATGTGTGTTGTGCAGGAATGAGATGGGCAGAGTCCAGAGTCCATTGTTATGCAGACCTAGAAAATTATCCATGCCCTGGTAGTAGAAAGCAGAAGGAAATCCCGTACACGCCAGGCTATCGATATTCACGGCTCCGACGGCATTCGCAAACAACGGATTACAACGCATATAGTCCGGAGACCCGATCAACGAGTTCACCAGTTCATCAGTGTCTTGCTGTGACGAGGGACTAGCGTAGCAAGATGTTGGTAGCATAGTAGTTATTATATTATTTATTGAAATTCCAATTTTATTGTTCTTTGTTTGTGTTACAACTTTTGCGCAATAACTTGTTATTGAAATTTTACAAGGATATGAATCCTTAAATTCTGGATTTATCACTTCACTTTGATTCTTAATTAATAGCGGTAAACGATTTTTAACGGCACTTATGAAAGTTCTCCGAACTTCGGTTTGCTGCACGCGTGCTGGCTGCGTCCACCAAGAAGTCCGATCGAGAAATAAATCGAATTTGTGGGCTGGCTGTTCGGGTAGAGCATTTGTAAATCATGTGTGCATGTGTGTGTGTGTGTATGGGGAGAGCGTATTGGACTAAAAATACATACATACATATGCATGTATGTACATACCAATCTGCATACACATCTACTTGTACATACATTCAGAAATGTAGGTGTATGTAGATCTTTTTCCTAGAGAGAGCGTGCGTCTGTGCAGCCTGTAGACTGTCAGGAGCTTGATTCCCATAGTATTTATTGCTTGTTTATACAATAATATGTGCTTAATCAGCATCAGCAATAGGATTTGTTAAGAATGGTGTCTGTCAAGCTATATATTTCTAATTTAATGCATATTTGAGTCAGTTGCGGAAAAATCCGGCTACATATTAAATAAACACTTGACGCCCATCAAAGCCAATAATTCACAAAAAGGATCAAGTCTTGACCTCATTTATTATGAGATCATCACTTATAAAAAATTGTAGATGACAGTGCAGCGGCTTCATTGGTGCATTGCAATCAGGGGCGTCTCTCTTCTGAATACGCGGCATACTCATCCAATGTTTGTTTAAATATAAATAACCATATGCTCGAGGCATGAGCATGAGCGGCTGGAGATCTCTTCTCACCGTTTCTCTCATTTGTTTGAATATTTCTTAAAGGGGCGGAGCCTAAGCGGCTTTGTGGGTGTATTTAGTATTGTGCTGGAATCATTTTTAAAATAATAATCCAACAAATCAAAAACGCGCAAAAATGTTTGCACATAGTCAGGAAAATTCCAACTATAACGAAGCGTACGAGTATATACATAACTGATACAGCAATTTATTATTCAAATTAACAAATAATCGTTTTACAACTGTTTAAGAAATGTGGAAAATATTTGAAAGTTTATGTTTTATGGCAACTGCCTGACAGATACTATTAATTAATTATTATAATTATAATAAACATTTTCGACCAAGACAGATTAGATGAACAATATAGTTGCTTCTAAGTAAATAAATATTGGCTTATCAGTGCCGCGAAGCTGGTCACGACTGATTTAATAGCCATTGCTGTATAAATTCATTATGTATTTAACAGATATATGGATTTTATAAAACTTGCCAGCACTAATATAATACAAGTATGTATAACCCCAGTTGCCGTTGTCTAAATGTAGAGAATGTATGCAAAATAAAATACTAGGTTGTTTTTTAAAAATACAAATGCAATAATTATTTTAATTTTTTTCCCTTCTTCAAATATTTCTAATAAAAAAACCTCATATTATTTTATGCGTTTATAATTAGGATTAGTCTAATACTAAGGCAAATGTCCGGATTACAAATCTGAACAGTAAAGTTTTTCCAGTTTTCGCGAACTATTACGTTAGATAGGATTAATTGGAAAGGCAGACATAACATTGATAAGTAGACGCGAAGGCTCAACTGGAATTCCCAGACTTCTTTGTAGAGGTCTCTCAGTGCTGATGTTCGTGCGACTACTTCCGTTACTTACTAGTAACTCTAACTACCCTATTAAGCCAGGATTTTGATGTCCAGACTCAAGGGCGTAGGCAGCTTTTGCCAAAGGGGGCCCAAAAAATTTAAATTTTGATTAAATGTCCAGACGTATCATTATGTTTTATGGAACAGAATTTCACTGTAAAACGTTTTAAACGTAAACTTAGTCATAGAATCACTTAGAGTTGACTAAGAATTGTAAAAAATATGAGGTATTCGAAATATTCAGTATTTAGATAATAACCGAGCTAAACATTTTTCTTCTTCGGCACGGAACCTATGTATATACATATGTATCTTACCATATCTTTAGAAAGAAGCAATCTTATGCCACAAAAACCAATTGAAATCAAATCATTGTCAAATCAAAATAATAGCATTACATTGTGGGACTTGACATCAATGTTCGTTAAAAGGATAATGCAAAGTTTAAAATTAAAACAGACAGATGGACGGACAACCGATCAAGCTGTGTTACAAGCTTATAGTACATATCAACACTAGTATACCCTCACACTCATGAAAATGTACAGTTCGCATTAAAAAACAAGGATATACAAATATTTAGACACGCAGAAAAATCGATATAAATTGTTTTATAATTAAATATGAATAATGTATAATTTATAAATAATAAAAACACTTGTATTACCTTAGTTTAGTAAAAAGTTACGTTATGGCATTAAGCTGTACACAATTGTTGTTTAGCTTGTTTTATTTCTTACTTTTGTTTAATTGAATAGAAAAGACATTAAGATATTTTTGCCTCACTTGTAAATTCATAATGTTTTTAAGTAAAGTGAATAATTTGAATTGGATTAAAAATAGGCCATAAACACAGAAAGTAGTAAAAAAAAAGTTTAAAAGTTTGAAAAGAACCATTGATCACATTTATTGTCTAGCTCTACAAACCAGCTTTTCTATGACAAACTTTAAAAACATGTCCACATACATGTAAGCCGGAATAGGAGTTCACTGATACCAGATCTGACTTATCTGTGCAGCATTATACGACCGTTATAATGATCTGTGGCTCTGCTATCTTAAACGGAAGACTATTTTCTATTTTACGACTTTTCACAGCTAGTCAAGTGCGGCATTTGCACGACGATTTTGATTTTTCAAGAAACGAAACGAAAGTCTTTGCCATATCTTAAAAGGTCGTAAAACATTTTTGTATACATTCGAGTATACAGGACTATGCAGACGTAGTTTTACGACCGATGAGAGAGCACAGAACGGTTCTGTTTTAACAGACTAAATATCTTAAGTAGAAAGCAGAGATCATTTTAAAGAAATAAAAACAATAAATAGAAGCCAATTGAAAATGCAAGTACTGAACAGTACGTTGAGCAATTTCTTATACGATCCCGCAGACAAAAACAGACACACATATATAGTATGAGTGTATGAGTATGTAAAATCCACATGTGTAATTGACGAGCAGATACAAAGGATTTTTCACGCTCTCACTCTGTCTCTTTAGGTTTTACGATCGTTTACCGCTGGAAAAATGGGTCATAAAACAATGGGTTATCCTAGGCTTGCAGCCGCCATGTGAAGTGGTCGTCTAGTCGTTTTCTAATCAGCACCATTATAAAATGAACGTGCCCTGTGAGCCGATTTCTAATGCCGCATATGTCGCTCCCGATCCGAAGATGTTGTGTTTTTGTTGCTTATTTTTAGACCTATACGAAGAATAGTATTGGAAACAAATATTGTTTTTTATTGCCGGTCTGTAGCACGCAAAAAGCAAACATATACAAAAACTCTAAAACAACAATGTTTTATTTAGTTTTGACTAATCGTCACGTTAAGCCATAAAACGCCCATAGACTTGTTTATTTTATTCTGTGGCAATATCGGTTTGCCAAGCCTCCTTCAGAACAGAGAAACAAAAATTAGAATAATAAGAGTTGTTCACAAATTATAGTTTAGTGCCCGACCTACTCGTGTCACCACTGATTTATGTATCACGCGGTAGGGGGAGTAGGAGTGGGAGTGGGACTGGGAGTAGGAGTATTTGATGCACTCAACACCTACTCAAAATTCTGGGATCTTCACTCAACGGATGCTCCTTTGTACAAATCAATGGCGATGCTGAGATGCAGTTGCTTTTAAATCAAAACAACAAATCATCGATCAGTTGTAATTCGTGCGTGTTGCGGTCTGATCGACGAGATCTGTCGGTTTGTTCAATTGTCAAAATTGAAGGGTGTCTGAACGGCCATAACAGCTACAAGAGCTGCGGAGCTACTTATGTACATACATACTTGTATGTATATACTAGCTATATAGTAGTGCCTATTTATAGGCGTCATAAAATGCAACACAGACAATTAGCTGCGTGCTCTTGTTTGACAACAAATACAAGGAACGGGACGACTATGGCGTTACACATCATTGACAGCAAATTATCCACATTACCTGAAGTGTCAGATTGGGGGCGCGGGCGCCCATTAGCTATTCCGGTGACGTGAACGTGACCTTTGGTGGCCATTAAATGGCACACTTTCACTCAAAGCGCTTGTGTAGCCGGAAATTTATGCGATTTTTGACACTAGTTGCGTGGCCATTCGGGAGGCTGAAAGAATACAAAAACAAAAAAATAATAAAAGGCGCTACGGAAGCTCACAATGCGTGGCAGGGCGGAGCGGTAGCGGGTGGGTAGGGGAGGGGTGTGAGCGGCACTGAGACTTTTTGTTTTCCTCTGGATCGGATTTTCCAGAATGAATCTCAAATAAATGAATGAATTTTGCACACGTTTTAGTGCCAAATTAGCGGCTAGTGAACAAAATTAAACAGTTTCACTTCACAGGTTTAAAAACAATAAACTTTAAACAACTTTGAGGCATTTGTTGCATGTTTGTTTATTTGTTTAAATTTAGAATATCGACCACATTAAAATACTCGTACCAATATGTGTACAAAACAGCTTCAAAGATCTCAAGTGGCCGCAAAGGAAGAGCCATTAAAGATATTTTCGAGATGTATTATGGCCAAGCATTGTTAACTGTCCCCCACCTGCCTCCACCCACCCACCAACCAACCACATCCATCCTCAACGGGCTCAGTACCTCAGAACTGCCGTTTGACCCCGCGGGTAATTTGCACTTCAAAGAGCGCCTGCAATGCGTATTACATACATACATACGAGTATGTGTGTGTGTGTGTGTGTGTGTGTGTGTGTTTATTCCAAAGATTGGGCCAGCTGGTTGCGGTGCTCGAGAGCGTGGGGGCCACGGCA